GAGCTTCCCCTCCCCATCCCCCCCGTCCGCTATCGAGGCAGGGAGGGAGGGAGGGAGGGAGGGAGGGAGGGAGGGCAGCACCTGCACCCACCCTTCCATTTCCGGGTAGTTTAAACACCGCACCCGCAGCATGCCTCCCCTGGTTCGGAGGGAGGGGGTCATGAACGTGGTGGTCTCCGTGACTTCCAGTCGCCACACATCGCCGCGTTGCAAGGGAGGGGACTCGAACAGGACGCTCATCTCCTTCTCGCCCGCCCCCCCCTATCTCCCCTGGCCCCGCCCGAGGCCACAAAGGGGGGGAGGGAGGGCGGGAGGGAGGGCGGGGCGGAGGAAGGGATGATACAACCTTGAAGGACATGCTCCTGGAGGCCCATGTTCCCCGCCTCCGGCATTGACCAGAGGATGCTGTCTCCCACACCCACCTGGAGGGAGGGAGGGAGGAAGTGGAAGCTGACGAGCTCGACCGTGTGCTCCCGCCTCCTCCGCCTCGACCCCATCCCGGGTAGGCGCAGCGTCCGGGCGCTCGCGGGGGCGATACTACTCGTGGACGGGCAGGGACTGGGGCTACTGGCGAAGATCTGGCCGGTCTGGCTGGCGTCGCTTCTGCCTGGGTCGGTGTGGGAGGGGTCTCGGGGGGTGCGACCGCATCGTTCCCACTGGCCGGAATCCTGCATGCGCCGGTCTTCCCATGCGTTCGAATCCTCGCTCCCGTCTCCCAGGGCCACACGGAAGGCGGGCGTGGAGGGAGGGGGGAGGGAGGAGGACGGAAGGCTCCCGATGGCTCGTCCGAGGCCCTGCCTGTGGGTGGGGAGGGGGGACGATGACGCATCGACAAGGGATGCCGCTGGGTGGGCTGAGGGGGAGGACATGGGGGAGGGGGTGACCGAGGACGGGGGGGAAGAGAAGAAGGCGGGCATGTCGATAGCGACCGCGTCCGTGGGCAGGGAGTAGCGGGACGGCAAGGACGAGGGGGAAAGGTGCGCGGGTGGGCCCCTATTATCCCCGAGACGGTGAGGAGGGGATAATATACCGGCCCTGGCCTCCACCGCTGCCTCGATCCTTCGCCCGTCTTCCTCCTTGTCGCCCACTACCTTCGCTTTGGCCAGTGTCCCCTCGGAGGCTACCCGGAGGACGCCATGCAGCGCGTCCTGTGCGGCCGTGCCGCCGGCCTTTCCAGCAGCTGCCTCCTTGGCATCCAGCTTGTCGTCCCTGTCCTCCCACGCCGTGACTTTGACCCGACAACGCATGGAAGGCATGCTGGGGCTTTTGCACAGGTAGACGCCGGGGTGTGCAAAGGTGTGGGTGAAAACGTCCCCTGGTTGGAGGGCGCAGGAGGACGACCAGGCTAGTACCTCCGAGCCCGTCGTTGAGGAAGGAACTCCGTTCCCACCCTTTGGACCGGGCCTTTCCACGCCCCAAGCGTCGTCGTCGGTGCTGGCGTGCATATTTAAGGAGCTAATGGGGCTGTAGTCGCTGCCTGCACGCGTCCCCGACGTGGGTTTCACGTGGATGACATGCGGTGTCCCCCATCGATATTCCTCGTTTACCCACCGGACATTCTGCCCTTGGGCCACCACCAAGGAGCTGGGAACGAATCGACGGTCCTGAATTTTAACCTCCACCACCATCGTTGCTGGTATCACATCCTTGTGCCCATCCGGGTCGCCATTGTTCCAGGAAGTGCCGGTCAACAGGCAGGCCCTCATGAAAGTGGGCCTCCCCGATAAAAATATAGAAAAGCTACCAGACTGCCGACGGCTTGAGCGTTACTTTGGCGGATCCCTATGTCTCTCAAAGCTTTCTTTGTGTCCTACAATGATATGTATTGTCTCTGTTATTTGAATTCATGGAGGTCAAAAAGTGATGGCCTTTCGCTTTTTTCCCCAAATATGCCTCAACCCAAGGCTAAAAAGCCTGCCCTGAAAGGAGAAATAATTGACGTACACATTGCCAAAATCACAACAAAAGCCTCCCATCACATGCATTGGAACCATCCGCCCGTTTCACCGCGCACAGATGTGCGAAATTGGTCGCACGGACCGACGTGGGAAGGTAGGGTATTTATTTCACCCAATTTATGGCGAGGGCAAATCGCTCCGGGCGGACGTCTGAAAAACTATATGGAAGTTTGGACCCATGTTGCCACGGATCCTGGCATGCGCTTTCTCGGATCGTGGGACACTTGTCGGGTATGAATGATTCCGCGTGAGGTGGATCGTGGCCCTCTTTTTGGATTTCTTCTTTGTGGGGTTCATGTCTCGGTGCCTGTGACGTGAGCATCCCTCACTCTCGATACTTTTTCATATGAACCGAGCCGGGAACGCACGTGCTGGTTCCAAATGCCTTTCAATTCCAAGGATATGGTAACTTGGCGCGCTACGTCTTCATACATCTTCTTTTGTACGTTGGGGTGTGTAATTCCCCTGATGGACATGGTCCTTGGCAAGAGATATGTTATAAACGTGGTCCGCTCTGTATATACCCCTTCACCTCCCCACCCACCAGAATGAGCTCTTGTCGTGCCCTTTTTGTTGCCACGCAGCTCCTTACTACCACCAGTACGCTTGCATTTCGTCCAGCACTCTTTGCTCCTGTCATTTCGCGTCCCCGTGTCAGCATCAACGGTTTCAGGTACGGAAAGCAAGTGATGAGCAAGCATCGGGTTCAGAGACATAAGACCTCATTGTGGAGCACACCGTAAAATTCTCGCTATTTTTCATTAGAACTTGCAAGACCCTCACAATGGCCACAAAAGCTCCTGCAAAGGAACCTACCAAGTGGACGACAAAGGATTACAGGGTAAGCATTACTTGACGCTCGGATTATTTATTCGAGACTCCGATTTCTGGCAGTTTCTGTCAGGGAATGAATGTGCAAGACAATCTAAGCAATGCTCGACGATTGCACGGGAAGTGAGACAGAGTAATCACTGCCTGGTCGCTGTGCAGGCGCTTTATGGCAGGCATGGCCCCTCCTTTTCTACTGGTCTCTTAACGGCTGCCTCTCCCTTCCCCAACAGCGCCCCCTGCATTGGGTCTTCAAAGTAGGCGACCTGGCCAAGACCCTGGCTTTTTACGAGGAAGGTTTCGGCATGCACGTGCACCGTCACGAGGAGTTTGCCTCGGGGTGTGAGGCCACCTGCAACGGCCCCTACGGCGGGTGTTGGAGCAAAACCATGGTCGGCTGGGGTAAGGAGGACGAGCAATTCGCCCTGGAATTGACCTGCAACTACGGCATCGACTCGTACAAGGCAGGAAACGATTTCCGTCACATTGCTGTGGACGCCAAGGCCTGGCGGGGTCCTGCGTCGCAGGTAAAGGTGGAGGACGGGAGGCGTTATGTAAAGTCCCCGGACGGCTACAGCTACCTTCTGGTCGACACGGGCAGCGCCAGCGTACCGTCGGAACCCTTCCTTTTCGTCTCCATCCACGTCGCGGACGTGCCACGCAGCCAGCAGTACTACGTGGACGTGTTGGGGGCCACGGTCCGCCCCGGGGGCCCGGGAGCCGAGACCGGGGCGCAGAGTGTGATGGTGGGCTTCGACCAGGCGGGTACCGGTGTGTGCTTGGAACTCGTCCAGCTCCCAGGCGGCGGGCAGGTGGACCACGCCCTGGCGTCGGGACGCTTTGCCACCGAAACCGAGGACGGTGCTCCCGACAAGGTGGGGGCGCGGGTCCAGGAGGCAGGGGGGGACGTGCTGCATGGCCCCTTGAAATTGCAACCGCACGGGGAGGAAGTGGTGATCGTCGCGGACCCAGACGGGTACGAATTCTGTTTTGTGGACGCACGGGGCTATACCAATTGCATCAATGTCCGCGATTCGGCGGAGGGCACGACAGTGGACTGGCCCTACCGGGAGCGCTTGGAGAAAGCTGCCCGGAGTAAGGAGAACCCGAAGCTGGAGGTGGCCAAGGTCTTGGCGGGGGACTATGATGTGAAGCGAATCTGTGGCATGCTGGACGGGTGGGTGGAGCGTCACCCGGTGGTTGTCTTTGCGCAGGTGACGTGTCCGTTTTGCAAGAAGGCGAAGGAGCTTCTGAGCGAAGTAGGGGCCAAGTATGAGGTAGTGGAGGTGGATGCGATGGAGGGGAAGGACGGCTTCGCCATACGCGTGGAGCTGGACAAGGTCACGGGGAGAAGCACGGTGGGTCAGAGGGAGGGAGGGAAGGCGGGAGGGAAGGAGAGTGGGAGTGAGCATAATGGAGATCTGGTGCACACCTGACAAGACTTGCCTCCCATCTTTTCTCGAAGACGCAAGCCATACATTCATTGATCCTTGGTGCTCACCACGACGTTTTCATGCTTCTTGTCTCCCTGCAGGTCCCAAACATTTTCATTGGAGGCAAGCCCGTGGGCGGTTTCTCCGACGGCGTGGAGGAGTTGCACAAAAATGGGAAGCTGGTCCCCTTACTCAAGGAAGCAGGAGCTCTTTAAAGGGTGTTTGTGTGCCTGTGACTCGCTCACATATAGGTCAAGAGAAAAAATGGGGGGTTGAGAAAATCACGGTCGTGGAGATGTACGTGTGAGACGTCATTAGGAAGTGTTGAATAGGGGCCATGCGGACGAGTTTGCAGGCTTGGGATCGCCTGTGCCGGTTTACAAATTTTATAAACCGCAGTGGACATAGACTTTGTCTAAATGACATTGATTTCTGAAACGGGCTTCTTGCGTCTTGTCCATTGGTCCGTCGATGAGCTTTGTCGAGATTTGCTTGAATGCTCTTCGTGAATGTGTATGCGCGACCTCCGCAACATCTTTCCCTATGTCAAAAATCCACCACACATTGTTCTTTAAAAGGTTGGATGTAGAAACGACGAGCATTCTCACGATGGCGCCCGCCATATGAAGGGATTGTGGAATTTTCATGCGCGGACACCTTTTTGCGATACTCAGGCGTTTGGATAATGTTTTTACACGTTCCCTGTCGCAGCATGTATGGCATGTTAAAATCCAATTGAACAGCTAACATGCTCCATTTAATAATTAAATGCATTTTATAATGAGTTTTCGGGCCTGTTCCGCGAGATGGAACCACATCGTGCCGTCCACATCGTTTCCCGCCTCCGAAATAAAATCAAAATTACGATACCCGGAAGACCCCAAGATGCCTGTTGAGAAGTAAAAGAGCCCCTTTGAAACCGAGGAGCCCGATGCACACAAACTATACGAGACTTGAGACGTCACATCACTGACGTAACTTAACCTATACAGGCCAATTTATTCATAGCAGCTCTGCGCAGTCCTGCTTCTTGGTTGTATTGGAGGTGTGCTGCATGAACCTGCTGCAGGTGCGCTTGAGATGGTCAATCAAGGAAGTGGAGCACAGAGTAGAAAGCGACCACTGTCCACTAATGGCAAGAGTGGTCCGACCAAAGCTAAGCTAAGAAAGCAGGATGGTGTGGCTTCCAATAAGGGGGCAATTGACGCCTTCCTCGTTCCGCGTCCCCGTGATGGTTCGAAAACATCGAGGCCGTCGAGTCCTGTACAGTGTGTATCACCCACTCTTTCTCCCATTGACGGAAGCACCGTCCCTGATAATTTGAATTCAATCGATAATTCCTCCACAAGGGCTTCCCAAGTGTCCCCCGACTGGCTCGTGCGACGCTTGAATGACGGGCAAGGCCAGGCCGACGCGCAGGCTTCTTGGGATGCGCGCAGCAAAGAGAGGCTCACTGCCACGGACGTGACATTGATCAATAAACGCCGGGCCATGGGATGTCAAAGCAAAAAAAAGAGTGGATGGCGCGTTCAAGGAGACACGAAAGTGTTCGTGGCGTACACAGGTGCTGGGGTGCAAGTCGCGGAAGGGGCTGAGGCTTTCCGATTGAGTATGGCGTATGGAAAAAAGAGGGGCAAAAGGAAGAAGGATGGAAAAGACGTGAATGAAAAAGCTGCAGATGGGAGCCGTGGTCACAAAGCTAGCCAGCGCGGCGCCTTGGAGAGGTAAAGATGTCATGCCCGTGTCAAGGCCCGTGACTCTAAAACCACCGTACGGAGAGCACAAGAGCGTCAGGGGCTGGTTCATGGAGTGAGCACGATGAACAGTACTGAGATGAATATACAACTCATGTACATAGACGTTCGTGAAAATTGACCAAAAAAAATTGGTAGTACAGCGGCAGTTGCCTTTCTTTCTGATTTGTTTCTCAGTACTTTCTATGAAGCGTTCGTACAAATGTGGGCGACGTGAAGCCCGGCCTTTCCCACTTTACTCAATTTTTGGGCTTGCACCCATTGTTATGATCATTTGATCCCCACATGCATGCTCATCTCCCCCCTCCCTTTCCTCTTCCCTCGGTCCTTTCGTTCTCATGGGCGGGCCAGACTAGAAGTCTCCGATCATGGCAGCCTCCTTCTCCCTCTCCAGTTTCAATCGCCTCTTCGTAGCCAGGGCCACAGGATCCACCACACATCGCTCCAGCAGCTCCACGGCGCTTTTCAGCTCCGTTTTTTTGTAATCGGGCAGTGCTTTGGCCGATGCATTTTGAGCATTCTGGGCATCGTAGGCGTCAATCTGCGCGGCCAAGGCCTTCAGCGTGGGGACCCGAAATGGGTCGAAATTGTCCACATCCTCGGGATCAATGGGCACGCACACACGTCCCGTCTTCGGGTGGACCGCGAAGGGCGATTTGAGCAAGTGGTTGGTGCCCTTCGACACGTTCACGTCCAACCGAGGGTAGCAATACTGGAAAACCACCTCGTACTTCCACAGGTCGAGGGCGAAGAGACCGTTCCCTGCCCGGCCACCACGACTCTGCCGGCGGGCGTTTCCACTGGCATGGGCAGAACTTGCCGCGCGCACCTGGGATTTGATCTCGAGCCATCGGTCCTGCGCGTTGGTCAAGCGTCGCATTTCCCTTCGAAGCCGGTTGGCCAGGTCTTCGTCGGGGAGCGTGTCCAAAAGGGTGTCCCACGAATTCTCTGAGTCCAACACCCCCTGTCCTGCCTCCCCAAGGACCCCTGACTCGAACATGGGCTCCAAGATGTCAAAAGCCCGCGTAAAGGACGGATGGAGGGGCCAGGACAACCCCCCGTTCTTCCCCTTGCTCTTCTCGTTTCCCCGCGGCAACGACAAGTATTCCACCACGGCGCTACGCCCATCGTTCGACAAGGCACGGGCGTTGGGATCGCACACCCAACAATGCACGCCGCGCCGACCGGAGTACACCCACAAAATATATCGAAACCCGAAATCCTCCCGTAAGGCGGTGTCCACGACTTTCACGGCCATGGTCATGAAGACCCAGCACTTGGGACAAATTTTGGCCCCTGTGCAACAGCTTCGGATGTCGTCGTAGTCTGTCATGTCGATGTCGAAAATGAGCTCGCGTTCCACGGGTTTGAAGGCCTGACGAAGGAGGAATACGAAGGGAAATATGTGGTCAGAATGTCGGCCGGCTTTCCCTGCCAATCCCAATTTTTCACGGACCTCTGCTTTAACAGTGTGATGATCTTTGGGAGGCAGCGTAAACACGGCCCCTATGTCTATTTTGTGAGGTTGTTTCTTCTGTATCGCTGACTCCATTTCGGAGGCATCCCGGAATGATTGATATCGTATGTAGATGTCATCATTTATCGTAAAGGAAAATTCACGACAGGCGAAGTAATCCCGGACGATATGGGCAGCATCATTGTCAGGATCATTTCCGTAGGAAAGCCATTTAAACATGGGTTGATAAGGGAAGAGGCGGTTGTAGAAGAATCGCAAAAGTTCAGGGCTGAATTCTTGATCATTGATGGCGGCCGCTGCTACTGATACTTTATTCGTGTTGGAAGGCGCGATCTCCATATTTTCTCTGTTTCCCGCAGCTGACAAACGTCCACAAGTCGAAGTGCAGAGTGTGTTTTTTGCATTGAGGTGGATGGGACGGTTGGAAAACGATGAGCGGGAAAGAAAGGACGCGCGAAAAAGGAGAAACGACATTGCAGTGTCGGGGACACTAAATGAAATTTGACTGGCTCAATTTAACCCGTGAAAATTTACATGAGGGGGGCTATCCGTACCTGCAGTCATTTTCTTCGGTACTTGTTACGATCGCGGCGCGGAGGCGGAAACGAGGAAAGCTGCCTCCCTTCGCCAAGACTGCTACAAGCGAAGGCCCAAGAAAGGCAAGCTGTGCGCGGATACCGGGGGCAGATACACCACGATGAGTGCGCAGACGGACCAAGGTGCAATACCGAGGGCCAATCCTATTGTCAAAATTATCGGGCACTCCGCGGCGTGGTGTCTAGTAAAGCGACACGACAAAAATAAGTTGGACAGGTTTGTGGCAGGCGGGAAGCACCCGTCACGGTCCGAGCCGTCCGATAACCTCCTGAGGGAACAGGCACCTGACTGAAAAGTCATTTTCAAATGCGTGGATCCCAAGGCGGAAAAATGGGCATGCCAAAATTAAAATGTGAATACTAGTAGTTGTGAGAGAAGATAATAATGCAGGCAGATTTCATGTTGGTGCAAAGTTTTCAGTTGTTGTCCCAGATTTTAGCGCACGTCCACTCATGAGTCCTACCTCATGCTGAAACTACATTGTTAAACAGAAAGCAATGCGCACTTGGATCGCGAACTCTACAGATAATATGTCTTCATACATAAAATCATCGAGGAATATTTTGAACGATTTGATTTTCGCATCAGGAGAGATGATATTTCTAGGATAATGTAACGCTTTCCGCCGACTGTCACTTTTAATCAGTCACAGCAAAATGGCGCTCGTAAGCCTTCAAAAACGCAAAATTCCCTTTTTTAAGACGCTTCATGCTGCTATTTCTTACTACTTAGAAAGACATGCTGCTTTTCCTTCCCTGCTTCGCCACGCTAAATCAATAACAGCTCCTCGGCCAGGCGCACGCACGTCCTCTTCACCCCCGCGTCCCCGAAAAGATTCAATTGGTTCAAATAGTAGTAGAACTGATAGAGTTTCTGACGGGTCTCAAAGCCTTTTTCTTTCGGCAAACGCGCGTGGTACGCGTTCCAAAACTCGTCGCGAAAGCCCCCAAACAAAGTCATCATCGCCAGTTCCATCTCGTGATGGCCAAAGAAACAGGCAGGGTCGAAGATCACGGGACCAGCCTCCGTAGCACCGGCGTTGCCAATCCATAGATCACCGTGAATAAGAGATGGGGACACCTTGACCCCTGCCAACAAGGCGGGCACCGCCCGGATGACGCGAGAGCCCAATATGCGCAGCTCCATGTCCGTTTCATTGAGTGCAGCACGACCGTACTGCTTTTCTTGGTACAAGGCCGCCACCTGGGACTCGAGGCGACGGGCCAGAAAGGAAGGCCAGTCATCGGTCCAGGTGTTGTTCAGAGGGGTCAACGCAAGAAAATTCGAGACGGAAAATCCGAACCTGCCCCGGTGGAGGGCGGCATGGGTTTGGTCGAGGTGAAGGGCGGCCAATTGCTCTCCTAGGCGTTGCTGCATGTCAGTACGCATGATTCCAAAAGGCAGGAGTTTCAAATGCTCCAGCACCATGAAGGCACCCGGACCCACGTCCCCGACTTTGGGAAGCTTCCCCAGGTGGAGAGGCTTGGGACAGGGGAGCGTGTTAGTCGCGGCCAAGGCACTCAAGCCCACCGCCTCAGTCAGAAACACAGAGGGGTCTTCGACGCGATTGAGTTTGATGAAAAAGAGTCCCTTGTCTGTCGTGTACTTGAAGACCTCGTTCCCGTTCCACCGGGAATCCAGGAGCTCCCATTTCTCCACACGTCCTACACCCAAGACTTTTTGCAAAGACATGATAATGGGATCATCAGGCTCGGTGCTCGGCATATATTTAGGACCCGCTGCCTGTGCTTCTCCCATTTCGCGAACAGCGCCGTCCTCCAGTTCCTTCATGATTTTTTCCGCTTCCTCCTGGGCGCGGGCGTCTGCGATCACATCAGCCAAATTGCCTTGCACTTTAGATTGCGAATGATCGCTCTGCTGCTCTTGTGCGGGTATGACGTTGCATTTTAAGTTCTGACGCGCGACACCCCGGGGCCAGATGCTCAAGGCGGAACAGGACTGGACTGACGGGAGAAGGAATGCTTGGACGCCGCCGAATGCTACGAAGAGCGCCCCGAAAATACACACCACGTTCCGAAAGATCATGGCAAAATACGAACAAAGCGTCAAGCCTTTTCGTATAGATATTATTGGGATGCAGGGGAATGTCAGGGTGCGTGGGATTTGGCAGCAGAGGGTCGTGCACGGCCGGTCATTGATGTTGAAGATATCGCCGTTCCCTTCTCTGCTGCGTTAACCTCCCCTTCCCGATGACTACGGCTACAAATATATTATGAATGCCTTTCAACAGACTGGGAAATATCGCTCGAACAGGAAGTAATATTGTGTGAAAAAGCTACGATGGCCACATTTTTGCTCTAGCCGACAAATACTCACGATCAAGGAAGATACGAGAGCTCGTTCGAGGAGCGAGTTCGCACAAGTGCAAGGAACATGATGCAGTTTTGACTTCCAACATGCGGTAAAGCTAAAATTTTTACCATTTTTTCGAAAAATATTAAATTGCTCTTATTTCCATGGCATTTTCATTCATGTACACATCTCTTCGTCATCCGTCATGCTTAGCCTTCTTCACTACCGGCATAATGGTTCCCCCTGAGGTCTTCAACCCTTCTCTTCCTCCCAGTCCCTTTCTAGACGCGGAGGACGAAGAAAATAAAGCACTCTTGAGCAACATGGCAGTGGAAGACTTTTGACCCTCTGAAAGCCGAGCTCTTTCCTTTTCTCTGGCTTCCATCTCATCATGACGGGACGGAAACGTAGGCATCAAAGAGTCTTCCTTAGGCAATGGCCGCTCGTTCGTAAAGAAGGCGTGTCTCTGAGCATCCGTGGCATTCAACCGCTTTTGTGGGTCATATGCCAAGAAAGAATTGAGCAAGTCCACGCCGCCTTCGCTCAAACGCGGGAGGCGCGCGGCCACTGTATTGTAGGGGTACCTGTCCGGACGCAGCGAGACCATTCCCGAAGCTACGTGAGGCAGGGACTCCACACCCGGCCAGATCCGCTCATTTGGGCTCCCCAGCAGCTCAAAGATCTTTTTGAGTTGCTCCAGTTCGTCTCCGCCGGGCAACAGGGGCTTGTATTCCAAGAGCTCCCCGAAAATGCACCCCACGGCCCACATGTCAATAGACACGTCGTAGGTCTCCGACCCCAGCAATAGCTCAGGGGCCCTGTACCACAGAGTGACCACCTTGGGGGTCATAGGAGCGGGAGGGGCACCGTATAAACGAGCAAGTCCAAAGTCGGCGAGCTTGAGCCGGCCTGAATTTGTGTACATGGGCCGAAGTGGGAATGAGAACGCAAGTCTTGCAATGATACGCATTGAGCTCTTGCCCCTAACACTGTCGTCTTGGGCCTGCTATCCCGCGCAAGGTGCACAATTGTTTTTCAGACCTGCGTTGGTGTAGAGCAAATTGCTCATTTTGATGTCACGATGGATGATCCATAGCTCGTGCAAATGTGCCACGCCACGCAGAAGCTGCAACAGGAGGTTCTTGACCTCGGAAGATGTGAAGCGCGTATTCATGTGGTCTATCAGGTGCGCCATATCGTGCTAAAAAGCGTCGAGGATGAGGATTGAAGAGTGGAAAAACAGGGTGATAAAAAGGAGCACATCAATAGATGACGCGGTACTTTCACGTGCAAGAAGAACCTATCACCAAATGCATGGTAAATTTGCAACACGAACTGGGAGAAGAAACTGCCTCACCTCGCAGTATTCAAAGACCAAGAAGACACCGTCTCTTTTTCTCCCCACTGCTATCTCTTCCAATCGGACGCAATGAGGGTGACGACCTATCAATTTAAGCGTACGAATTTCCCTCAAGGACGTCAAGGGGAATCCATCTTGCTTCTCGTTATGTAGAATCACACGCTTTAAGGCCACCATGCGTCCGTTTGCTTTATCGATGCCACGATACACAGTACCATACGCTCCTTCCCCGATTTGATTAAGCTTTTGGAAACTCTTCACAGGACGGCAAGCGCCATATAAATCTGCCTCCCCAGCTTCACTGATTTCATGCTTGGACTGAACTGGGGAGGCTGCCATGGTAAAAGGCGGATGACGACAATTTATAGCATCACGAGGGGGGCGAAGGTGGGGGGGATGGCGGGCAGGTGGATGAAGTATGCAAGATGAAGCTATGCTGCTGGGCACCCCGGCACGATCATTTCAATCCGCGTGATCAGTGTATGCTTTCCCTGTGTCTATAATGTGCGCGGGCGACGACGGGATGCAAAACCTATGAAACATGCGCAAATAGTGCCCGCAGGCAGGATTATGCCTCGGTATATGACGACAGCTGTCGTTTCTCTGTCCCCTGCCCCGGTAAGTCGCCCTCGATGTTACCCGGTGCCATTTAAATCCCATCATGACACATTTTTCGATGACAGGATGCCGCATCGCAAGCTGCTCTTGGACGGGTCAACGGAGAGCCGATTACCAGGGGCACAAGCAGCTTTGACTGTTTTTAGGGCAGGAGGAGGAGGAAGCGGTAGCAACAGGGAGAGGGAGGCACAGCACAACCAGAATTCAACGCCTACGGCTGAAAGGGAAGCCTCCAGCAACAACAACAACAACAACAACAACGCCAGGACAATAGAGAGGGAAGGTGGACAAGCCCCTCGGGGACAAAACGGCCATGGTGGGACGGGGAATGACGAGGACGATGAAGAAGCGAGGGAAGAGCCCCCGTGGACTCTGGGTGAGGAATTCAGGTCATGGGCTGTGGAGCAGACACTGCGGACAACGTTTCTCTTTGCCGTGGCGGGCCTGATCACGTCCTTTCTGTCCTCGCAGGCCATCTTTTTCCTGGTCCTGGCTCTGGCCTCTTTGGCCTCCTTAGTTTCATTGACCTATCAACGTATCCGCGATCGGGGGGTGCTAACCTACCTACCTGCTTCCACGCAACGCTTATTGATGCACACCTCTTTGCTCGACTGGCTCTTGGACTCCTCCTTGGCGGATCGCTTGAAGCCGTACGCGGTGATGAGCCTGGGATTGAACGAGGAGGAACGGGCGTTCCTTATTAACAGCTTACCACCCGCAGAACAGCGTGCTTTGACCGCACCCGGAATCCTCCACGTCCTGCCACCACCTGTTCAAGCCTTCCTGTTGCCAAGACCGATGGGCAACAGAGGAGGGAGGGAGGGAGGCAGGGAGTGTGGGCATGGGAGAGGAGGCGGAGGAGACAGAAGGCGCGTGGAGGAAGTGAGCGAGGCGGAGGCTGCCACTTTAACCCGTCGCCGATGGCAGGAAATGGAGCGTCGGCAACTGGAAGGGGGAGCAAGGCGAAGGGGGGAGGAAGAAGGGGAAGATGAAGAGGAAGAGGAGGAGGAGGAGGAGGAGGAGGAGGAAACCACGGCGTCGGAGACGAGCGAGGAGGGGATGAAGGAGGGGGGGGCAGCGACCCGGGAAGGGGCTGGCGTATAGGGACCTTGCCTGGGCGTGTGGGCACGTGGGTGGAGAGGCATGAGGCGGAGGAGGAAAGTCCTCGCCACGCCCTCGGGGAGGAAGGGAGGTCAGGGGAGCACTTGGCGCCCGTGGACGTGGACGAGGCGGTGGCGATGGTCATGCGCCGACGCCTCCATCGGGTGTGGGAAGACGCCGCCCACCGGGGGAGGGAAGCCGTAGTGGAGGCGGTACGGGCCCAGCTGCATCGGCAATGGACCTGGCAACGGCCCCTATGGGTGGCCGGAGGGGCGGTGGTGGCCTCGGAGGTGGTGGCGCGGATCCTGGAAGGGAGGGGGAGTGGGAGGGCGGGGAGGAGGGGGAGGACAGCGGGGTGGGTGGGTGTGGCAAGCCTGGTGGCGTACGTGGCGTATATGGGAGGGAGGGAGGAGGGGGAGGAGGGGGGAGGAGGAGGGAGAGGAGGGGAACGAGGGGCGTGTGCGCCGGCATCAGGGGACCCTGGGGAGGTTGGAGGGCAGTCAGGGATCGACGAGAGGGCAAGGAGGGACAAACTGGGCTTACCAGCGGGCCTGGCTGGAGTGGACTGTCTTTGCCCTTTTCCTCTTCTTGATTCGCACCGGCCGATGGGCCCATCTCTTGCGTCGGCTGCGTGCCTCCCTCCCTCCCTCCACCTCGCCTTCCACCCGGACCTCGCCCCCTCCCTCCGCCCGCACCTGGTGGGCGGTTGCGGCATGGCGGAAGTAGGCAAACCTGCGTATGGATGCGAGCAATGGGGCCAAGCCGGGGAGGTGGAGGGGGAATGGCAGGTCCGCGCCGTTGGTGCTGGTGAGGATGAGGAGGGAAGGGCGGGACGGTCCCGGAGGGCGTGTTTGTGAGCCAACGTGGCGGAGGCGGGCGGTGGGGGCGGGATTGGGAAGGGCGTGGATGGGGCGATGGGCGTGGGAACCGGGCGAGGAGGACTGTATCTTGTGTTCATACGGCGTGCGACCACGGAGGAGGGGGAGGGGCCACAGTGAGCCGACATCGGGGGGAGGAGTCCTAAAGATTGTAGGGACTCGTACAATTTTTGAGAAAAAAATACAGCAGGCAATGGCCCCGACGCAGAGGCCGCAAGACGCGCCGTGTCGGTATTCTTTCCTCCGTACCACTCCCTTCTACAAGCACGGTCTCCCCTCCCTCCCTCCCTCCCTCCCTCCCTCCCTCCCTCCCTGGCTCTCCCCCTCCCCCCCGCACTTGGCGCGCAAACCGGCACAGGAGGTCGTTCACTTCTGCAGGAGCATCCACCTGCACCCAAT